AGTTTGGTTGTTTACTAACGAAACACCCTGTATAAAGAGTTTTAATTATAGTTACATTTGATATACCTATATAAGTGTGGTCTCCCAGAAGTCTTTTGTTTTTGTACTGATTTCGTTTCTACGAACTGTTTACTCCAACGTCGGATATCATTTTATGAGGAGAAGCTTTGTAAAATAATCTTCTAAAAGTCCTTTCCACTTAACCCGCTGACTTTAATTCACTTAACAATGGCACAAACTTTGCACACAATATGAATCACGTTATAATATATCACGCAATGATCGCGTCTTTACGACGCAAGTAAAAATATGTCAAGGCATCTCGCCAAGGATCGTGCCTTTAAAACTCCTACGAGTGTCATAAAGGCTAATTACGTGAGTTGCTTACACTACTTTACCTAAGATCGTTTGTCAATAACGTGTTTAAAACATCATAACATTTATAACCTATAGCCTTTCTGTATAGTTTAATAGCAGCACTTTTACTCTAAGTACTGCAGCAGGGTTCCCACAAAAAATATTTTAAATGCTGAATTCCCTGACATTCCCTGGTCGGATTCTATTTATTTCCCAGACCACGGTATATTTTAGGTACTGTGAGTTTTCTAATATTTCGATCAAAGTTAAGTATTTATCTCTTAAAAACTATTTTTTCATTTTAATACGGTCTCCACTATCTCTAATCCCCATAGCCACTTTTAGCGAATTTCTCATTGCAAGGATTCTGTGTTTGGATATTTGGAGACAGGATAGGAGCACAATGAACTTCTTCTGCAGATGAATAATCCGTTGGTTAAAAGAAATATAAGCCGAATTAATAAATGTCACAATCCAAGTGCATTAAAATTGCTCTGGCCTGAATTTTTCATGAAGTACATTGGGGATTTCTTTATGTTACTATCTGGATAAGTTACCGGTGCACTTTAAACAATTTCTTTTAGAGATAAATGGTTTTTGTTGCTGAGTAGCGCTAGTAAACATGCACAATCCTTTTCGTTAGCCTAATAAAATTGAAAGGCTCTATTGCGTCTAAACGCTAGTTATATTGACAGGGGGTAAAATTCCGTTTTTTATTGCTAATCTAATTAATCACGCTCTGTCTATTTTCATTAGACTTCCAAATCCGCGAGGGTAAAATTCCGCCCGCGAACAAACTTTTGAGCGCTCAGGTTACTACGTCATAGTGACGTCAGCTTTGCTTAGGGGGTAAAAATACCAGAGGGATAAAATACCGGCGATCCGCGATTGACGGGTATTCATCAGAGCAACAGAGAAGGATAAGGAGAAAGAGAAAGAGGGGGGGGAGAAGGAGTCTAATGAAAGGAGATGGAGCGATATCCGGAACCTGTTTGTCAATGTGTGGTCACAGAATTAGCAAATCCGGACTTACTCGGCCTTCAAATTCCACAGACAAGCGAACCGTATACCACCTGCGATTTGCGACAGGGTCATCACACTACGAGTCTCTAGACTGAACACTGTATACCAACTGTGATCTACGACAGACTCATCACACTGAGTATCTAGACTTACCACTGTACCCCACCTGTGATCTTCGCCAGGGTCATCATACTACGAGTTTCTAGACTGAAGACTGAACACTCTATTTCAAAAGTTGTAGGCTCTTAGAAATAGGAGCCACCAGTAGTACGGTGGTATGATGATACGACAGGCTCACATAGTCACGGGTTCGAATATCACCTTGCATCACTAGTTTTCAACTCGTATTGACACATCAGTCATCGGATCGTCCGAAGGTTTGTCGAAATCAATTGTAGGTTTCGTAACGGGTGTCGATTTCTCTAACAAACTACCGTATCGAGTTATAGGTGACTGGGATTTTGTTTTGTCGATTTGTTCTCGTCTGAGATTTTGTGAACTAAATATGCGCAATCTGTAATAGGCGTTCTTGAAAATTTTTCTAGCATATAGCACTGCTTATAGTGCGTTCTGAGTAAAACGTCTCTCAAAGTACTGCTTCAGCAAGATTCGTCGTAATTTGAACAGTATTAGTCAATCGCGTCAGTAAGTAGTTAATTCGTACCTACATGTGATAACATTTGGCGACAAGACGAGAACAAGCTATTCTTCTAATCTCATGATTCTCAAAAAAGTGATTGGCTCCATGCTTAAGACTTATCATGCTGTAGTTTTTGCTGTAGTTTTTTTTTTCGCCGTCTAAATAATCTTCAATTTGAATGCATGCTGAGTCAATTTAATGGTGATCGAATTTAAACTCTTTTTCACCACACTATGATCTTTTTGGCTGTATTACATACGTTAATTGGTGGCCGAAAGTTACGTTTTGCTGGCGATGCCAGCTGTCCATAATTTGGGGACCGAGCAGGTTTTTACAGGCCGGGGCCGCAAAATCAGCTGTCCGCTTACTTACTTAAAACATGAATGCATTTTAAATACATAATCAAAATCCATAGCATTTCAATAGAATTGTGTTATTGTCACCGTTGCCTAGCAACTATATATTTTTATTTTTGCTGATTCCTCAAATTATTTCTTCACATAACCTTAAAGTTGTAGTTGTGTTGACTATCAGTGTGCATTATTATTGTGGTGAATAGTGGTAATAGGGTATAGTGTGGTGAAAAATAGCGTTCGTACCACGGACCGAAATGGTTTTGCGGCTCTCGATCGATTTAAGTTCTCGACTTCGTCTCGAACTTAAAAACTATCTCGAGCCGGCAAAACCTCATTTTCGGCCCTAGGTACGAAATATACTATTTCACCACACTATGATGTTTTTGGCTGTATTACATACGTTAATTGGTGGCTGAAAGTTACGTTTTGCTGGCCATGCCAGCTGTCGCCAATTTGGGGACCGAGCAGGTTTTTACAGGCCGGGGCCGCAAAATCAGCTGTCCGCTTACTTACTTAAAACATGAATGCGTTTTAAATACACAATCAAAATCCATAGTATTGCAATATAGAATTGTGTTATTGCCACTGTTGCCTAGCAACTATTTATTTATATTTTTGCTGATTCCTCAAATTATTTCTTAACCTTAAAGTTGTAGTTGTGTTGACTATCAGTGTGCATTATTATAGTGGTGAATAGTGGTAATAGGGTATAGTGTGGTGAAAAATAGCGTTCGTACCACGGACCGAAATGGTTTAGCAGCTCTCGATCGATTTAAGTTCTCGACTTCGTCTCGAACTTAAAAACTATCTCGAGCCGGCAAAACCTCATTTTCGGCCCTTGGTACGAAATATACTATTTCACCACACTATGATGTTTTTGGCTGTATTACATACGTTAATTGGTGGCTGAAAGTTACGTTTTGCTGGCCATGCCAGCTGTCATCGTAATTTGGGGACCGAGCAGGTTTTTACAGGCCGGGGCCGCAAAATCAGCTGTCCGCTTACTTACTTAAAACATGAATGCATTTTAAATACACAATCAAAATCCATAGCATTGCAATAGAATTGTGTTATTGACACCGTTGCCTAGCAACTATTTATTTTTATTTTTGCTGATTCCTCAAATTATTTCTTCACATAACCTTTAAGTTGTAGTTGTGTTGACTATCAGTGTGCATTATTATAGTGGTGAATAGTGGTAATAGGGTATAGTGCGGTGAAAAATAGCGTTCGTACCACGGACCAAAATGGTTACCCCTGAACTATGGGGTGAAAGGCCAAGACCAAGAAGCGTAAAGAAGTCAAGAAGGCAATACAAATCAAAATAACTGTAAGATGGTTATTACCGAAAAGTAGTTTTTAAAAGGCTTCTGTTCCGAATAAAAAAAAGTCAGAAAGCTCATTTTCGGCCCTAGGTACGAAATATACTATTAAACCATTTTAAAAGCGTCAACCCTACGAGATGTTAAAATAAAGATGGTCACTGTTTTCAGTACACGTTTCATGCTTTTCTCATTGTAAAATAGTAACCTAGATTTCTTTCAACAGTTTACAGTAATAGCTAGTAGCCGTAAACATGTTTTTAAACTCAATAAATGTCCACATTGGAGCTTGTATATATTGAGCTTATACAACCCTCAACTACTTATTCATTATGAAGGAGGTTCTTAAATGCTAGAACAAGTTTCACCCTTCAAAAAGACCTAACTTTTTACTTTCATTCATAAACTTGCCTTGCAGGTGGTTCGAACACTATAACACAGCGTAGCTTATGCAAGATTCGACCCTGGGTGCTCAGATCAAAACTCCGGCACATTAACTACTTCACCTGTCGCACCCATATCGTTGTTGTGTACTACTGTATTGTGATATGAAGGATACTGGCACAGTGCTTAAGCTTGGTTTATACTTGAGCTCTAACTACCTGTATAATTGTTTGAGTTTGAGTTATTACTGCAGTTTCTAGACTAGTCGGAAGACCGAGACAGCCCGACTGAGCAGGTTGAGCGGAGTAAATAAATATTTACACTAACAAGTGGTTTGTATTTGAATAGTAGAGAGCTCTGACGTGCTTTCCAGCTTGAATGGACACTAGTGAATGGCCGCTGACTGTGATACTCCGGTTGTTGATTATACGCCAAGGACACGGGGCTGCCGGTAGTTTCCAAACTGATGGTGTTATTGGCAGTGGTGACGAAACACAGGAGCAACGGTAGTGCATTAATTGCGCCCAAGAGCTCCTTAATTGCGCCAAGCCCCAAAGGGTCCCAAAACATGTTCCTTAGTTGCGCCAAGTCCAATAGGGGTGAGTTGCCGGCAGAAGGAATGTCCTTGTTTATATACTTCTGCTCAATGATAAAAACCTCTGTATTTGGAAATGTAGTTCCATTGATTATTTAAGAGTTGAAGATAACATTTCAAAGATACATCTTTATGATTAAACTTAAAAAAAAGGAATTTAATTATTTTGTTTTATGAACGTTCTACAAACGGAAAACTGATTTAATAATCTAATATTTTTAGTGACCATTGAGAGAAATATTGTGTTGTTTTATTGAATTTCAATTATTCCATTAATTTATTGATTTAGCAACGAGTGCGTAGTGGATGCTTAGTAAACATACCGTGATAGTAAGGAGGCAGCCGAACAGGGCGATGGTGGGGGCACTGCTGAGCTGCGTGCCCATCGTCCTCCTGCAGCAAAACAGAAAACAGAATCAGTATAAAACTAGTGTAACTGTTGCTCGAATTCGAGCAATTGCGATGCATTACAGGCGTTATAACATGGGATGGGAATTTAAAGACCACTGGGGCAGAGCCCCAAGGGAATTTACCACGTTTCTCTTTTGATGGCTCATCTACAGACCAAGACTTTTCTTTGGAGATCCCTTACCGAGTTTCTACACCCAGCCGTTCTCTCAAACTAGCTGTCACAAAGAAAAACAGTTTCAAATTAATATATAGATATCTAGTACTTAGTATCTAGTATCAGAATGAACATAAGAAACAACATAAACTAGGATTATCAAAATATTTAACAAATCGAAATCTGCTCAAAAACTAACAGAAAACAACGAGTTTTACATCTCCAGTAGTAGCCGTCACACTCCTTTACAATGGTCTAGCTCCACCTAGTTGTTGGTGTGTTAATTGACGTCGGAACTAACAACACAAATAATCAATTATTGAAAAAGCAATTAGGAAAATATCGACAAAATTCGCATACAAAACAGATCACACATATCTGTATAAACATCAAAATTATATGAGAACAAAGAAAATAGTTATTAGAGGCAATGGCAATCAGGTACCAAGACGGAATCATAAATGGAAAGCACATCTACTCAAATTGATTACTGAACGCACGAAAACAAAAATTATTAATGGCAATAATATTTAGATATTTACAATAAAACTAGCATGATAACGGTACGTAAACCAGGAAATAACTTTACAAGCATAATGTCAGAAAGAACAAAAGAACCAACATCAGCAATGAAAATTAGGAAAATAATAATGTGTTTTACCAACTCATGGCTGGAGGTTATAGTTAATCAATACATGTTTTTCAAACTACCAAGAAAAATCCATTGTAAAGACATAAATTCTAAATGCATCCTAAATGAAAATCTGATGGCACTAACAGATTAGACTTTCTATTAACACTTATCCGTTTCATTAATCTTCTAAACGGCGTTCATTGTTGACAATCGATTAGCATGTGCAACGGTGACTATTGTTTGGCTAAAGAAAGTTAAAGGGATAGTCCATTCTTTATAACACAAGACAATATCGGAGAGAGTGTCCATATTCATAAGAGATGTGCTACTTCGTGTAAGCCTTTTAACGCGTGACGAATTCAATCATTAGCTTTCGTTTTTGCATTATAACTTGACACAAATAATTATAATGATGAGTTTCTACGCGAAGAAAAATTCTAAGAGATTGAATAGGCCTATCGTATCTATTTAAAGGGATCTAAATCAGAGTATTTGGATGAAACCAAAACCCTTTAGTGGGTCTGAATTAAGTAAGTAAAGTAATGTAGGGAAAAAGATCAATAAACGTTGTTGAATACATTTTATTCGGTCACGTTATTATGCTAACGTATATCTAATAATGTGAAAAGTAGGTCTCATGGTAAGACCTAGGCCCCATTTACTTTTTCATTTTGATGTCCCCAGAGGCCAAAACCACCATTCGTTCAAATATATATCTATATTTATAAAAGAGGAAGTTTGTATATATATCTTACTAATATTATAAATGTGAAAGTTTGTGTGTTTGTTTGTTTGTTTGTTTGTTTGTTTGTTTGAAGTTCAATCACGCATAAACCACTGGACGGATTGGGCTGAAATTTGGCATCATGATAGCTCACATTCCCGATTAACATATAGGCATATTCTTATCTCAAAAATCCTTTCGGGCTCCGCCCCAGTGGCTCTGTAGTTCCCCATGTTGAGTATTCATATTTAAAGGGAATTAAAGAATTTAGTCAGCTGTTTCAACTAATATGTTGGTTCTGTGATATTCAAAAGCATTAAAGTTATAAGATTTACAAACAGGGTGCAGCACTATATATTTTTTTTCATTTATGTAATGAGAACTGTCAGAGTAGGATTGTTTACAGTTATGCTTATGTTTTTAATGTCATGAATAATTTGTGATTTTTTGAGAATTTTTAATAATTTATTTTTCTTACTTTTTAGGTGAGGTGGTAGAACATTATGGCTATAGTAGATGTGTAATACCAATAGTATACCGTAAATTTAAAGAAGCAAATTTTATCAAACTTTCTCCTCCCCCATTACAAACGCATAGCTGCAATAAGCATTTTAAACTTATATGCCAACCCCGTACGAAGGACGGGTACTCTGCTAGTATATATATATATATGAATTTGAACGGATGGTGTTTTTGGCTTCTGGGGACCTCAAAACGAAAAAGTAAACCGGTCCCGAGTCTAGGTCTTACCATGAGACCTACGGTAATAGCTTATTCCCTATATGGGAAATTCGCTAAAAACGATATACTACACCCTATATCTAGCAATAATATGTTTAATTTTTTTTCTGGGAGCAATTATTATTTTAATTTAAATAACCTAATATCAGGTACTTCCCCAAGTCAAATATCGGTAGACTTTTTTTGTGTTGTGTGGAGGTATAAAAGTAATGAAATCCGTTGAGAATCCTTTTGAAACAATTTTGTCGAACTTCCACTACTCAATGCCTGGACTACTCGACTGCACCTGAATTTTCCAATTTGCCCTTCTAAATATCTTTAGCAGCTGGTGATGAAGAATACTATTGGAAACTTTGTCAGCATTCACTCAAAATATATGATGCGGGAATTTAAAACAGAGCAAATAACAACCGTGTTTGCTCTTAAGTTTATGACAAACGTCAGGCAAAAATAATACAATTTACATACAGGATGTTACATTGTGACCAAGACGATAACAGGGGTTAAACTCAGGGTCGAACATGAAAGCATTAAAGTCACGTAAAATATCTTACAGCCTGACCCCTATAATAAAAAGAAAGGAATTCAAACATCTAGGACCAACTAGACACTAGGTGACATAAACCTGCCTCAGTGATGGTCCTCGGTGCGTTACTTCTGTGACTGTACACTCTAGAGACAAGCTCTATCCCACATCACTACAATGTTGAGACAGTAACCCGAGCTGCAGCCACTACTAGACACTAGGTGACATAAACCTACCTCAGTGATGATCCTCGGTGCGTTACTTCTGTGACTGTACACTCTAGAGACAAGCTCTATCCCACATCACTACAATGTTGAGACAGTAACTCGAGCTGCAGCCACTACTAGACTCTAGGTGACATAAACCTGCCTCAGTGATGGTCCTCGGTGCGTTACTTCTGTGACTGTACACTCTAGAGACAAGCTCTATCCCACATCACTACAATGTTGAGACAGTAACTCAAACTGCAGCCACTACTACACTCTAGGTGACATAAACCTGCCTCAGTGATGGTCCTCGGTGCGTTACTTCTGTGACTGTACACTCTAGAGACAAGCTCTATCCCTCATCACTACAATGTTGAGACAGTAACCCGAGCTGCAGCCACTACTAGACACTAGGTGACATAAACCTACCTCAGTGATGATCCTAGGTGCGTTACTTATGTGACTGTACACTCTAGAGACAAGCTCTATCCCACATCACTACAATGTTGAGACAGTAACTCGAGCTGCAGCCACTACTAGACTCTAGGTGACATAAACCTGCCTCAGTGATGGTCCTCGGTGCGTTACTTCTGTGACTGTACACTCTAGAGACAAGCTCTATCCCACATCACTACAATGTTGAGACAGTAACTCGAGCTGCAGCCACTACTAGACTCTAGGTGACATAAACCTGCCTCAGTGATGGTCCTCGGTGCGTTACTTCTGTGACTGTACACTCTAGAGACAAGCTCTATCCCACATCACTACAATGTTGAGACAGTAACCCGAGCTGCAGCCACTACTAGACTCTAGGTGACATAAACCTGCCTCAGTAATGATCCTCGGTGCGTTACTTCTGTGACTGTACACTCTAGAGACAAGCTCTATCCCACATCACTACAATGTTGAGACAGTAACCCGAGCTGCAGCCACTACTAGACACTAGGTGACATAAACCTGCCACAGTGATGGTCCTCAGTGCGTTACTTCTGTGCCTGTACACTCGAGAGACAAGCTCTATCCCACATCACTACAATGTTTAGACAGTAACTCGAGCTGTAGCCACTACTAGACTCTAGGTGACATAAACCTGCCTCAGTGATGGTCCTCGGTGCGTTACTTCTGTGACTGTACACTCTAGAGACAAGCTCAATCCCACATCACTACAATGTTGAGACAGTAACCCGAGCTGCAGCCACTACTAGACTCTAGGTGACATAAAACTGCCACGGTGATGGTCCTCGGTGCGTTACTTCTGTGCCTGTACACTCGAGAGACAAGCTCTATCCCACATCACTACAATGTTGAGACAGTAACCCGAGCTGTAGCCACTACTAGACTCTAGGTGACATAAACCTGCCTCAGTGATGGTCCTCGGTGCGTTACTTCTGTGACTGTACACTCTAGAGACAAGCTCGATCCCACATCACTACAATGTTGAGACAGTAACCCGAGCTGTAGCCACTACTAGACACTAGGTGACATAAACCTGCCTCAGTGATGGTCCCCGGTGCGTTATTTCTGTGACTGTACACTCTAGAGACAAGCTCGATCCCACATCACTACAATGTTTAGACAGTAACTCGATCTGCAGCCACTACTAGACTCTAGGTGACATAAACCTGCCTCAGTGATGGTCCTCGGTGCGTTACTTCTGTGACTGTACACTCTAGAGACAAGCTCGATCCCACATCACTACAATGTTTAGACAGTAACTCGAGCTGCAGCCACTACTAGACACTAGGTGACATAAACCTGCCTCAGTGATGGTCCTCGGTGCGTTACTTCTGTGACTGTACACTCGAGAGACAAGCTCGACCCCACATCACTACAATGTTTAGACAGTAACTCGAGCTGCAGCCACTACTAGACTCTAGGTGACATAAAACTGCCACGGTGATGGTCCTCGGTGCGTTACTTCTGTGCCTGTACACTCGAGAGACAAGCTCTATCCCACATCACTACAATGTTGAGACAGTAACCCGAGCTGTAGCCAC